CTATAGGTTGTAATATCTGAATGATTTGTTTGATATTAATTTGATTTTTTTACGGTCTAAGTCGTATGTTCCAACTTCCTCAATTTGTATGGGCGCTACGCTCTTCGGTATGAGACGTCTTTATCAATTTTCTCCTTATAGACGCAACAGATAGAAGTAAGATTAGTAGCGTTCAAAAGCGCTTTTTTATCGCATTAAGCCTATTATATACCCCCTTTTACTTTTTGCGAACACTTCCTTTAAGGAAACGTTTTGTAGCAGTAAACTTTTTGTTGCAGGAAAAATTTTGTAGCAGAACGCATTTATTCAAGGAAAAATTTAGTAGAGGAAACGTTTTGTGGCAGGAAACAACGTATGGGGAAGCGTTTTGTAAGTACTCCGTTATTTGACAGCGTTTTCATGTTTATGTTTACGTTTAGCTTATTAGAAATCAAAACTTGAAAACGAAAGTCGTTCTTTTTGTATTGTTAATTTTTTCAGAACTTTTGTATTGTTGAATTTTTCTGAAAACACTGATCCGTTACTTTTATTTTTCGATGGATTAAGTTAGTCGATATATCTAAAGTGTATTGACATCTCACAAGTCACAGAAAAATGTGCAAAAATATGATTTGGCAGTTTTGCTCAAATGATTCAGATAAAAACTTAGACATGATTAAAGATTTGTTGTATACCTTAGTTTCTTGACAAGGTAAAATATTTTGAAGAATGAGATATTTAATGATTTGGGGAAAAAATGAAAGATGGCAAATCAAATGGCAAGTAATTTTCCTTTTAATAATTTTTACAAAAAATATAATTATTTGTCCTCCATAGTTTAGCGAGAAAAAAATTTTAAACATTCAGAAAACATTGAAAATCAATAAAAAAATCATTAAATGGAAAAAATAGAAAAATATAAAACAAAAAAACATTTAAAAGCATTGAAAAATAGTTAAAAACATTTCTTTAAAAATTAAGAAAAACAATAAAAACAATAAAAACAATTAAAAGATTAAAAAACTTACAAACATTCTTAAAATCATAAAAAAAACACTGTGATTTAAAGGTCTCAAGCTCTTGAGCAAAAATCGTTGAGAATTTTCACAATTACTCGTTAAAACCAAGACTAACAACAAGAGCTAAAGATGTACATGTAAAGGCTACAGAAAATGTAAATTTGAGCAGTAAAATCAAAGCCTAAAGGGTTGCGACACTTCAAAGTAGACCCTGTCTTAAAAATTGATGGAGACTATTTAACAGCAGGCGGAATCTATGTGAGGGAGGGGGTAGGGTTTTTCAAGATCTTGTTCACCTGAAAACAACAAATAGGATGATGGCAATGGCCTCAATGATGATGGAGAAGAGGAGGAAAAAGGAGAATGTGTAGGAGAGACCGAAGCTCCTGGAACAGGAACTACCAATCCCAAGCAGGGAGATCAGAACCATTACTCCTCCTGATACAATATATTAATCAGGAACTATAGATCCCAACAAGGGAGATCAGAACCATTACTCATCCTGATACAATATATTAATCAGGAACTACCATTCCCAAGCAGGGAAATCAGAACCATTACTCCTCCTGATACAATATATTAATCAGGAACTATAGATCCCAAGCAGGGAGATCAGAAGCATTACTCCTCCTGATACAATATATTTATCAGGAACTATAGATCCCAAGCAGGGAGATCAGAACCATTACTCCTTCTGATACAATATATTAATCAGGAACTATAGATCCCAAGCAGGGAGATCAGAACCATTACTCCTCCTGATACAATATATTAATCAGGAACTATAGATCCCAAGCAGGGAGATCAGAACCATTACTCCTTCTGATACAATATATTAATCAGGAACTATAGATCCCAAGCAGGGAGATCAGAACCATTACTCCTCCTGATACAATATATTAATCAGTAACTATAGATCCCAAGCAAGGAGATCAGAACCATCAACTTTATTTAACTTTGCAATATAATTATCACAAAAATAAAAAAAAACATTGTTAAAACACGTTCATTTTGGGATTGTTTTTGGTAATTTTTTTTGATATTTTCTGTCAAGGTCAAAATTTATCAGCGTAAAAAAACCAAATCATAAGATTAATCAATTTAAAAACATTTATCTTCTTAAACTAGATCAAATTTTGATTCTGTCAAAAGACTTACCAATGCAAATAAGACATATAGCAGTTATATCCTGCGCTGTAGCGTTGAAGTTACTGAAATATGTTGCTCCGTAAACACTTCCAACAAAAAGGATAAACCCTAGAACAGAGCGATAAAGTTTTTCAGAGTTTTCTAAGTTAAAGAAACTATAAACATATTTTCAAATAACCCTTTATGTTAGTTTCAAAAATGCTTATTTTTGGTAATTCCTTTAAGTTTTCCTACAGTAGAAATGCGCTAGTTACTTCTGTAGAGGAACCACACTTGAAAATTGCCAGTTTTAACAATTATAAACTAGCTGTTATCTAATTTATTCAGGATACAGGTGTGAATCGGACATTTTCATCTTTTAATGGACGTTTACTTGAAATTACTCTTCGGGTCCCTTTGAGTTTTTCAAAGATACTCGTTGAGGCTGGTGTCACAAAAAAAACTTGGTAATATTCTTGAACTTACATAAATTAACGTTACGGAGTTAGCTTTTCCTTCAAGTAAATAAGTATTTAGTTAATAATGTTTTTTTTTTACAATTTTTTAAAAAAATTAAAATTTTATCTTTTTTATCTGATCATAGATCTGTTTTCTGTAAATCTATTTTAGATCTACGCAATCTAGTCTATTGTAGACAAGGGAAATATCTGACTAATATCTGACTCAACAGTTTTTGAAGGTGTAGTTTCCTCAATATTCTTACAGATTGGAAAAAAAAAGTGACTAAGCAGGGTTTGAAAATTCTGAGGATTTCCATTGTCAGAATTCCGCCTTAATAATGACAAATGGGAAAAGACAAGTATGAGTGGATATTTCGACAAAAGAATATTAATTCTTGTAAGTTTATCTCTGACACACTGCTTCACAGCCTCCTTGCAGCCGGCAAAGTATAAACCTGTATCATAGTGCATGCATGGTGCACAACCAATCATGATACTTCTTTCTATATTTCAATTTTCTTTGTTTCTGGTGAGAAGGAATTGGAAGAGCGAGAAAGCGAGACACACACACCCCTCCTTCTCTGCACTATTATTTTCTTTTTTTTTCCAAGTAGGGTGTACTGTCATATTATTCCTCACAGGGTTCTGTTCAGCCACTAGAAACTGGAGAGAGTTGTAGAAGAACCTGACTATTCTAAGCTCCCTTGATGCTTACACATAGAACCAGGTTCAATCGAAAAAATTAACGTCTTTCTTACGAATTCGGACACTTAATAACAGCTAACCAGATGTATATTTAAAGCTCCCTGCAGTAGCAAAATCTGAATCCAGCTGGGTAAAAAACTTCCATTCTCCAAGTTAATACAGCGTTAAAAGATGAATGCAGGCCTTCAAGGTTTTTGCAGCTCCATTTATTTATTTTCCATTTGTGTGCAGGGGTGTATATGGGGGATATACACCTCTATCTAAAGTTTCTTTAGTTTGCCATTTTCTCTCTCTAACCCTGTATCTCTGAGTACACTTTTTAAAGTGCCGAGCCAGAGCCATTTTAATAATATTTGATCTTACTTATTTGTAAAAATATTCAAAACTTTGTTTAAAGGAAAAATGCACTTCTGAGATTTGTCAAATCTGAATCTGTATTCAAGGTTGTGAGAACTAACAAGATCATGGAATGACCATGCATGATATTTTGCATTGCAATCAGGGAGTATTTAAAAATAGAGTTAATCTTTTCTCGTTCTTTTTGAGTGCAATTGGGCACTTTTGCACGAGATTGACGTTGCGTTGGTTTGCACCAAATTCAGTTAAACAATTCTGAAGCTAAAGAAACAACAATACTTTTTAAAATATGAATTCTATTAAGATTTAAGATTACCGCTGTCAATTGGGAACTTAAAATAACTTAAAATAGGTTAAAAACTAGTCAAATTAAACTACTTATATTTTTCTCCGGTTAAGATTATTAGAAGTAGCTCTTGCAAAAGATTATGACAGGTCATAACCTAAGAATTTTGCCGTTCATATTTGAAATTTCATTAATAAAACTTTAAACCATAAAAATTTGTTGTAGTCATTTTTACATCTATATGTATGGCTTTTTATGACAAAACTGTCAAAACAAATTGGAGTGTTAATAAGAGACGAAATGCCCCCCTTCTGAACATTTTTTTGTTTCTGAAATAAATTTTTTAAAAGTCACTTTAGGAAATCATAAAGAAGAGAAACCTCTTTGGTACATCAAAAATATTTGTTTTTATTATTGTAGATTAGTTGTTTTGTGTCTGATAAAATTAGAACCTGGCAGACTGCAGATAGATAGATAGATAGAAAATTCGGTCTATTATTAGATGATAATGTTGTTGTTGTTCTAGCAATTTTATAGTAAAGTTTACTAACTGGAAACTGTTATCATGCGTATCCATAAACTTAGAGTAGAAAACTTTTTTTAAAAATAACAAACGAAACCCAGTTTGGTATAAATTGATTTGCGTAAAAATTATATGTTATGATGCAGTCGACTATCGATACACTATATAATAACACTTTAAAAAAAGTACATAAATATTTGTAACATGAGTAGGAACGAGTTAGAAACATTTGGGTTGAAAAATATAACGTTTTCAGAAAAAATGTTTAATAAAAATTCATAAACTTTATTTTTCGATTTACCTACCTCCAACAACACCATAAATGACGGCAATAAATGCCAGAAGCAACCGTAACAACCACCGCATTCTTTAGTCTTACATCATTTCTGAAAAATACAAAAGGTTAATTTTACAACAGCGATTTTTCCTTTTTTAAAAGCAACATTGCAAATTTTGCGGATTTTTATTTTTTTAATGGTGGATTTCCGATATCTATCAAATATATAAATATTTAAATATCTTTAAATCTATATATAAATACGAGAAAATAATTTTACATTCTTTCTTTGTCTAGTTAAAGTGGGGTAAAGATAATAAGGAGAAACATAAAATTATTTAGCTTCAAAACTTTCTTTATTTCACATAATCTCCAAGTATGTTCAAGGGTGTTAGATACTTTTCCAAAGTTATTTTCCCAAGGGCGACTTCCCAAGTGGCAACTTGCCAAATGTGCAATTTCCCAAGCAACATCAGCTTCCCAAAGGTAAGATTAGGCCCTCTGAGGAGCCACAGGCTGCAATGGGGGAACCGACCGCTGCGTATAAGGATGGGCAAAGGGCCCAAGCGCTGCGGCTAGAACAGGTTGAGGCCGAGCACTGCGACTAGGACGGACTCGGGAAGTTGCCGCTTGGAAAAATTGCACATTTGGGAAGTTGCCACTTGGGAAAAATCCTTTGGAAAGATACCTAACATCTCTCCAAATATATGTTCTTGCTCATTGTAGAGAATCAAGAGGTTAAGGGCAATGAACAAAATTAAAGTAATGCCTACATTATATTTTTTCTTTCAGAAAGTAGACAAAATGTAAAAATGTCACGCGAAAAAATATTAATTGGAAAAAAGAAGATGTATTAGAGAAAATGTTCATTTTAAATGTATTTTTAGAAAATTTCCTGAGAGAAAATGTGCATCGGAAAATGTCCGTAAGGGAAATGTTTGTAAGGAAGACGTCCTAAAGGAAAAAACGTCCTTAGAAAAACGTTTTTCAAAAAGGTCCTAGGAATTTCCACGGGCAACGCCGGACACTTCAACTAAAATCATAATTTACCATGGATAGGAGTAACTATCATGAATATACCTGGGCAACGCAGGGTACTCCAGCTAGTATTATATATAAATTGTATAATATAATACGTGTATGGTTTCCGTGCGGTGTTTATAGCGCTACCATGGGTACTTCAACTCAACTGTTTAATAGTTATATATATACTTATATATCTTTATAACATTATTTATAGAATATATTATATAGACAATATATTTTCAATTTATATTGCATACAATACATACATACTGTTAAAATGTAATCACAAATGAAAAAAAAATATCTTTGTTAAAGTTGAGTTTTCTTTTTGCACTTTGTATAATGTGCACTTTGTATATTGTGCACTTTGTATCTTGTGCACTTTGTATATTGTACTTTGTATATTGTACATTGCATACTGTTCTTTGTATATTGTGCACTTAGTATATTGTACTTTGTATATTGTACATTGTATATTGTTCTTTGTAAATTGTACTTTGTAAATTGTGCACTTTGTATTTTGTACTTTGTATATTGTACTTTGTATATTGTACTTGGTATATTGTTCTATATTGTATTTTGTATTATATTTTTTATTGTATGTTATGTATATACTGAAACTGATCAAAGTAGTATGAGCACCATCTTGAGGAAGTTTTCAAGTGCTTCCGTAGTGCTACATACATAAATTGGCCAGCTAATGGGGGGAGGGGGAGGGAAGTTGGAAGGAACGAAAGTGGGGAGGGGGAGGGGAGTAATAGATAAAATTTAGACTTGATTTCTTGTATTGGTGTAGAAAACGGAGAACATTTACAGGGAAAATGAAACCAACAATTTTATTTTTCTGAAAAATTAATACGGACACTGAAAACTGTCTTCTTATAATGAAATTTTTAGACACCCTTAACATTTTACATTTTAAGTTCTGATTCATTTATCTGATTATTAAGTTCCTCTAAAACAAGAAATACTAGGTATATAACGACTATGCTATATACCATCAATATCTATTAATGAAATTCAAGAGATTAATGCATTGCTAACACTACCCCCCCCATAATATTGGTTTGGCAATAACAAATACCAACAGTACCCCTTTTCATTACCATTATTTGTAACATATGACTTTAAAAATACTTGCAATAAAATTAACAAAGAGAAAAACGTAGGTATCATACTCATTGTCACTTAGATAAAGGTTTACTATTGTAAATTAGGAATCTGTATGGCTCCTCCAGTTATACATTAAAATATGGAAATCTGACAGAATCTGATTCTAATAAATCATAATTTTTGATAAATTATGGTTAGTTTGACCAGTTTTTGCATTCCGGAAATATTTATTTAACTTAGTTAACTGTGTGAAATAATAATCAATCATTGGTTCATGTTGCATAACATTAACCGGGGTTATTCGAAATATATTTTCTATATAAAGTTATATACACGAAAATTTTTTATGATATATTTTGATCCCAAGTGGGATTGGCCGGGGTTAAATTCGTACATATATTCAGGTCTATGAAAATACACTTTCTGTATCATTGTTAAAAGATGTTCATATTAGAAATCCCTTCCAGCATATATTCTTGAGTATGTATTTTTTCTACAACTTGACATTATACTTCCAGATGTTTTCAACAACAATGGTCAATTTCTGCCCCTAAAATCAATCAATCAACATTTGGGATCGTAATAGATGGAATTATATTGATCCCTGTTTGAGGGTAAAGCCCTGTGGAAGTCATTTGTTTATTTTTTAAAATAACATTAAAACTTAAAATTTTGATGATTGTAAATAGTAATATAACTGACTACGAGAGGGGTTAGGGGTAAATTATTGAAGTTAAAATCTTAAAATTTTAGTTTTATAATGTTAAAGAATCGAGTCATCAAACATCAAAGTCTAAAAATTATTCTTGATTAAAAAGTTTTGTAATTTACATTTTAACTTTTCTTTTTTATCTTAAAATAGCTTGAAAATTCCTTTACATCTGTATCTAAAATGTCATTGATTGGAGAAAAAATAGCAGATTACAGAATGTAGGCTTTTGGCAAAAACGCTTTCAATATTTAGACAAAAAAAATTGTACCTGGGCCCTTTTAGACATATTTAAGTGTATAAATGTTTACAAAAACTTTACAAGGAAGTTTGGGAAAATTTACTTTTCCAAGGGTTCCCAAGACCAATTTTGACAAAAATTGGTCTTGGGAGCCCGTGTGCAGGTCAAGTAAAATTTTGTATTTTCCGAAAAAGTAGTTGTACACAATTTTATCGTCTTTTGAGATGAAAATGCGCGATTTTTTCCAGAAAACTTTGTAGAGCGGGTGATTATTTTAGAAAACTGTCCCAAGGGGCGTTAAGTGACTTAACCTCCCTCTGGTGGGTGAATCATAGGTTGGTAATGTTGGTGAAAAGGCTGGTAAAATTCTTTAAACAAGTGAACAATCCCTTTAAGAATCGTTCAATAAGTCCTCGTATTTTGTTGTTATTAATACAATACGGGTCGAATCAATAATTTATAATAATTACATAATCAAAGAAAATAATTTGTTTTTCTTGATAAAATATTTATTTTCAGACTCTCATACTAGTATATGATTTGTTACAATAATAATAAAAACAGAGGGGCCACTAAGGGGCAGAGTCTCAAAGGCCCCGCCCCCCTAATAATTTACTTTTTGATATAATTTCGTAAAGATCTATTATTTTTTATATGAATGGAACATTTTAGACTGTTAAAAGGGACTGCCTTCGTAATCCTTAATTAACAGAGGGACTGTACACTTAAACCATCAACTGATCAATAATAAAAAGATATCTTCGTTTTTCAAGCTTGAAAAGTGTTTAATGATGATAATTTTTTCTAAAGCAAGTAATACCCGGCCGAGTAACCTCGGCATAGAACCCCAAATGAAAATATCAGTTCTCAAGTCCGATGTTCGATTCAAAACGGCACTCTTGAACAATAACTTAATCAATAATAATAATCTGATCAATAATGAGAAGAAAAATCGACGTTTTTCTGGCTTAAAAAGTGATCCGTTCTGATAATTTTTTCATTGTTTCCGAAGCAAGTAATGCTCAAGTAACTTCAGAAATGAAATGAAAATATCAGTTCTCAAAAACAGTAACATAAAAATTATATTCATGCTTGATCAGAATAACTAAGCGTTTAAGACCTTTGTGAATCAGACATGCCTAATTCTATCAATGAAGGGTCACTTGAAAATAAGTTAACAGTCCCTTTATAAACAGACGCAGAATACCCATGAAACACAAAACAAAACTTTAGATTTATTCTAAAAAGTTTTTGTTTGTCCATCAAAAGTTTGCTGTTGTGCTATGCTTGGCTTTAAAACTACTAATTGATAAATTATTCATGAAATAGAAACTGAAACCAACGATCGGATCTCTCTCTCCCCCCCCCAAAAAAAAAGCACAGAGGATTAACTTGTAGAAAATAACTTTTACCTACCAAATAGCAATTACCATGGAACAATATGAAATGCTTTTCAAAAATTACCACACGTAGCAAAAATTGTTCAATTAAATTTACAAAAAAAAAGTTTTACTAATATGCGTTCATAATCCGTTTATGGATTAAGCAAATACATTGGGAAAATGTTACAAACATATATTATTAATAGCTTTGGATGCAGTGATTATAACTATTCTTTATCAGCTAAAAGTGTATCCATAAAATGTTTTCACTATTCATGCGTATTTAAGATAAAAAAGATATTGTATACGCATATAATATTGTAAATTTTCTATAATGTATTTTCATAATCATTAAGTAACGATCAGACATGCTTTATTGATAATTACATTTTAATTCATACCTCTGTTACAGATTCATTTTTTAAAGTTCTGCCAAAAATGTGCTTAAACCTTGTGCTTTAAAAAGACATGACTGGCAAAAATATACTTTTATGGAAGAGGGTCCGTTGGAGTAAACTCTTGATTGTCC